TGATACTTATCCGGGTCCTCCAGATCCAGTTTTTCCCCAGGGGAAATGTTTTCAAAAAAAGGGGGGATTTTTTCCACCATACATATTTCCAGATAAGCTTCTTCTTCACTGATATTTTCATTACTACAAGGATAGATCATTTCCGTCAAAGCCACTTCCCATTGACCGTCCGTTAAATCTAGGGATTGAGGTAATTAGGTTTTAAATTGAGCCGTCGTATTGCTAGGAAAAGAGGTCATAGACCCATCACTGGGTAAAGTCATGTAAAACCCACTGCTCTCGGCCATGTTCAATCTAAGACTGAGACCCTAGACCTTAGGACCTTTGTATTTATAACAACACTTTTTTTAAAAAATAAACATTTTTTATTCAATGATTTACACTTTTATTTCTTCTTCTTCTTCTTCGTCTTCTGATCGGTCCTCAATCACTCGAGTCAACAAAAGTCCTTTCTTTTCCATCGAGTCTTTAATCTTGGAAAAGGGAATGCGACAATACACGTACTCTGTAGGACAATAATGAGGTGGAAACGTCAGTCCTTTTTTCTCCATCCTGAAGAAATATTTCAAACAATCTCCAATGTCCGTGTACCATGAACTTTCATTCTGAATGATGTTGATGGGTGTCAGACGATTCATATGAGTACAACTGACCCATTTGTATTGCTGATAATGTTGGTTGATTTTCACCCTCACTCTAGATCCTGTTAGAGGATAGGGGAATTTCACTCTTTTTTCCAACCACACATTGTCCAGGGAATAGCCTGGATGATGTTCAAAGAAATCCATGATGGCTCCTATTTTAGTTTTCATCCACCCTCCTTGCATGTACATACACTGACTGACGGGACTCTCACAATACCAACGATACTGCATCTTTGGGAAAACACGTCTGACTTGCTCGGTGTCCTTTTTCAGAATGAGAGAGGGTTTTGATATATACCTCTTGATAAAACCCCACTCCTCTATTTTTAAAAAGTTATTTTTGAATAAACAACAAAAACAAGAATTTTAAAAACAAGTTTTTATTCAAGTAAAAATACAAAATGATTTTAATGTCCAGTGTATCGACATAAGGAACAATTTCTGTAGCAGGTCACGGTGAACTTCTCTATACATTTCTCACAACACGGATACTGACGGCATTGTCCGCATTTCCATTTTCCTCGAGTCTTTTCCTGGTAGCACATCATACATTTTTTCAACGGTCTGTTCCTGGTCATTTTCACCCATCGGGGAGGCGGTATATTCTCAATTCCTTTCTTCCAGATGAAGTATTTCAGGCACCAGCTACAACCACAAGTCTCCATAGAAGGCTCATCATCGTCAAACCAAGGTGGAAATGGCATTTCACAATGCTTGCAAATCCTATAGACTTTCCAACGCCATCCGGGACAGGGGTTATACACTGTGAATTCTCTCGGATGGATCATCTTCTGATCACAGTAATGACAAACATATTTTTCTACCTCGTACAAATACAACCATCTCCACACAAAAATCATGATGGGTACAATGAGCGCAGGGTACTCCCAGCTCCGCTTTGTATACCTTTACTGTAAGGCCGTGTGCAAAAATACGATAGACCTACGTTTTTTATGCTGACTACACAGGTAATACTTGACAGCGACTCAAGAATGTTATTGTGACGTCATCATTACAAAGCTAGGGTATATAGAGCGCCGCTTTGACTTCACTGCGCTCATTATTTATCAATCATGTCTTTTGCGTGGAGAATTATGTATTGGTATGAGGAAGAAAAGAAAATATGCCATCACTGCCATAAGGAGACGAAAAACGTATGGAAATATGCCACCTACAATCATGCGGGAAAAATTGTTAGTTGGTTTTGGGGTTGCAGTGAATGTGGAGAACTTATACCACACTGGGTGATAGAAGACCCCCCTTCTTTAGAAGATTGTGCCTGTGATTGGTGTCTGAAATATTTCCTGTGGAAATATCCAGTGGAGAAAATCACACCCCATTGGGCCAATCTCATGAAAAGAAATAGAAAAATTGAGAAATGTCTTTTCTGCTGGGAATTAAACACTCAAGGAAAATGGAAATGTGGACAGTGTATGAAATATCCCTTTTGTGAAAAGTGTGTAAAGAACCTTTTTCAAACTTCCTACGGGAGATGTCCTTTATGTCGATATGATGGAAATGAATATCCTTTTGAACAATAAACGTGTAAACAAAAAGAAGCAAGTCTTGTTTGTTTTTTTCTATCTCAGTTGTGTGTGTATAGGGAAATAACAACAGTAGAATTTTGGTTTTCTTTTATTTTATTCATAACAATAACAAGAACATCATAATAACAAACATTCAAAACTTCTGTTCAGTTCTTTTTGTATGGGGAACGATCTCCTCATGTACAAATAGTCTGTTTCACAAGCACAGTCCATGATATCGGGACGTCGACCGTCTTGTCGAAAAATCTCTTGTAATCCTCGAATCATTTCTTTTCCCGTTTTCTGTTTTAAAGGCACCACCCATGCATATTTAGATAAGACGTCAATGGCACACAATAAAAACGTATAGCCGTCATTATGTTTCTTTAAACTGGACACATCGGCTAAATCTAATTGCCATTGTTCGTCTATATCCGTCACTCTGATCTGTTGTCTCCGGAATTTTCTATGAATGGGTTTATGTAAGGTATAGGTATCTTGCTCTTTTAACCATTCTCGTATGGTGTTCAAGGAAATCTTATGTCCCAGACTTTTAACCTGACGATATAAAGTCTGTATGCCTCCATACCCTCTCTTGGGATCGTAATAAATCTCTTTTAAAATGTCTTCCACTTTCCTCTTCTTCTTCATGTCTGAGGCAAAGGAAGCCAATTTTGGTCGATTTGATGTAATCTCTTTTGAAATAGATCTGATCTGACTTTCTTTTTCTTCTGGAGGGCCTCCTCTAACTTTAAAATAGGAGAAGGCTTGGATTTTATAGATCGTCTAATAGGGGTCAAAAAAGATGAAGCATCATGAAATCCGCTCTCTTCTTCGTCGTCGTCGTCCTGGTCACTGAAGGTCCCTTTAGGAGTACTGATTTTTCCCGGTTTCTGCATGGCTTTTATAAGGTTTTGATTTTTCACGTAGTCCATGGGAGCATGGGTCTCTTTTAAAGCTTGAGCAAATTCATCTAATCCTTTAGGCACCGGATGATTTTTCAAGGGTCTGGTTCTCATGTTTTCAGCCATTAAATCCACAATGTTAGAATCGGGTACTTTTTTACCTCGATAACTGATTTCTCCGTCTTTATTCCAAGTCAATACTTTGCTTTTCTTTAAATGACTTAATAATAATTCAGCTTTTCTTTGCATGGGTTTATTCACGCTTTGAATGATTTGTTGATCGATCTCGGGCTCTGGAGCTGCTGCTGCTGCTACTGCGGGGGTTGGGGCTGCTGCTGCTGGGACTACGGGTGCAGGGACTGAGGTTTTTTGGTAGTCCCTGGCTCTCTCGCTTGTTGTAAATAATTCCTATACCGATGAAGTTCTTGACCGTATAAAGCCACTTTTTCTTCTGGAGTTAAATCTTCACGTCTGGTAATCTGGTCCAATTCTTGACCTATACTCAGAGTGGATTGAAATTCCGGAGGTTTAGGGAGTTTACCTTTGAGTTCATTCAACAGATTTTCAGGTACTAATACTATTTTACGACTCATTTCCTCTTGTTCCTCTTCTTTTTAATGGCTTTATAGACAGAATGTCCGGCATCCAACAGTAAAGGTGCTGCTGAGATTAAAAGGGGTAAAAGATTTCCTCCTTTTTGTTGTACTAATAAAGCTCGTCTTTTCTAGATGGATTGGGGTCGGACCAGTCTCCTTAAGATGTGTTTCTTAGGAGCTAGTTTTCGTTTCTGAGCCGAATTGAGAAGTAACACCCCTTTTAATAGGTTGTAGACGATCTCACAAATTTTCAGAATACAATCTCCAGAACAATGTTTTAAAATCCCCGTTTTTAAGCACGAGGAATAGTGAGGGTCCAATAACACTCTTAAAAGAGGGGAATGCGCTCTTAATCGCGTACAACATCCCTTTTTCTTCTTGGCCATCTCTGAAAACAATGAAGAGAAGTCTCCCATGTCACTCCCTTTTATAGTGTCTCTCTCTTAAGGAGGGGCATATCCTCCGTGTTTGTCGCTCTCGTGTTTCCCTGACATAAATTTTTCCGCAATATCGGCATTTATATCTCAGACCTTTAGGAAGTTGAGGGGTGGAGGCCGTCAAGGGTTGAAAACGTGTGATTTTAGGGACATGAATGGGGACTTTAATTCCAGGGGAGGGAATGCCCACATTCACTCGAGGAAACACTTCTAAATCGCTGGCTCTTTGACTGCCTATGGGTCCCATAGCACGATCCATTCTCAGTTCTGCTTGTTTCTTGAGCAACTCTCCTATGGTCTTTTGTCTTTGTTCCTTATAATACTGATTGACTTTTTAGACTTTCGGGCATGATTTTCGCCTTTTTGCCCCTGTTTTCTTGGGAGCTGTTTTTTTTCTTGGGAGGGGCTTTTTTCTTGGGAGGGGCTTTTCGCTTCTTCTTTTTTCTGCTCTTTTGAGCTGCTCCTCTTTGTTTCTTATTATCGACTCTTACCACTACACTCTTTGAACCCGTCGTTTTTTAGGACTATTCCATTTGAATAAATGACGAATGATGACTCCGCCTAGAAATCCAGCTCCTCCGCGTTTTAAAATAGCCGTTTTTCTGTCTTGATCACTGGCCGATTGATCGGCAATGATATTTAAATCTTGACGATGATGATCGATAAACTTTTGGGTCTGTTTATTGATAGGTAAGACCTCTTTTATTAAATTGCGAGCTCCCATAGCAAACCAATTCAATAAGGCTTTACGCCCTAATTCGATTAAATGGGCTCGCTTCGCGGGATCTCGTTCCCGCTGTAAACGTCGTAAGGTTCTCACTAATTTACTCTTGGCCGATGGAGCCATGATGAGATGGAAATGAACAATGACCCAGAAGAGTATGAAACACTTTTATTTATACTCTTGAGGCATGTGTACAGTCAACATTTCAAACATTCGACTTCTTAATCGGTATTCGTCTGGGGTCTGAGGACTCAGGTCCACGAGGAGATATCCGTGAGGCACCTGGGTGGCTTCTTGATAAGCAGACATCAAATGAGGCAAAGCTAGCTGACGACTCAACACACTGATCTGAGATTTGTCTCTGGGATTTTTGAATAAGACTAAATAATGAGCATTCAAACTAATGGTGCGATGAGAGGCGGCTCGATCAAATAAATTCTGATTGATGTAAATCACACTGGTATTCCGATGATGCGTTTTGCGGGTAAACTAATCCACAATGGATTCGATGGCTTTTCCTCCCATCATGTCGTCAAAAATGAGTAAATGGGGTACACTCAAATTGGCTACTAATTTCTCGTCGTCTTCTGGAATATTTCGGATGAAAGATACATTATCTTTTAAAGAAGTGTAAGCGGGTTGCCATTCCCGATAACACCAGGCGATTTTTTCGGGCATGGGGGTGATCCAGTGTACATTGTTCACTAATGTCTTGACGAATTCTGTTTTGCCCGATTTCGAGGGTCCTGCAACCACCATGGTAAACTCGTGTTTCAATTGAAAAGAGGGGAGGGGTGTCTCCTCGGAATACATGTTGATCAATGAAGGAAGAGATGGGTTCAGGGTCCTATTTATAGTTAACACAGAAATAGGCGTTTGCTCTGTTGAATCTGGCCTCGACAGATGGGGCAAAAATGAAAGGAAGGAGCACACAAAGCACAGCAGCATACGTGTCCACAAGGTAGAAAAGCGATTTCTAATTCCTGGTCTAAACAAATGTGACATTTTCCTCGAGCCTGAACGTCTGATTCTGGGTTCAGTAGAGGTTTGATCTCAATTAAAGGTTTATATCCCTGCTTCTCTAAGAACCTGACAAATATACCCATCACCCAGCTTCGTCCTTTATACTGATTGATGTAAGGACAATTGGGGTTCCAATAAGCATGTTCTGCATACGGATTGTCCTCAAGATCCCAATTAGTTAAAGTCATCCCACAATGAAAACAGGTGGCGTTATCTTTTACTCCCCTGTAGTAAAACCCGGCTCGAGCTATGTCTGGTATTTTGCTTAAGAGAGGTTCTGGCCATCCCTGCTCAAAAGTAGCTTCTCTCTTTGAGAGCTGAGCATACTGGGGATAACGTATGGGTTGGTCTGGCTCGCGACTACCCATGATTAGAAATGACCTTTGATTTTGAATAAGAATACCTTTTATAGAGAATATGAAGAAGAAAAACAAAACACACAAAACAATCAATTCAATTTTTTTAATTCAATGTCAACATTGAACATATCAATAACCATAAGGTAAAGTGTTATAAGAGGGTAACAATTGTCTCTTATCATACACAATTCTATTCTCTAAAGGTTTGGTCAAGACGTCATGATCACGGGTCCTCTGGATTTTGTGGGGATAAGGGACTGTAACTTCCTCTATTTCTCCCTTGAGCATTTTTTCTAAAGTCTCTAGGAACACGATCTGGGAGGTTCGATAGTTGAGAGTGATTCCTTTGACTTTATGAACCTCGGTTCCTTTGGCCGTCCGGTAACCATAATTTTTAGGGCCTGCGGACATGAATTTGATGATGTGATCCCCGTCTAATTCGTCGGTCCATTCTCCTAAACTATTGCCCAAGGTAAGATTAAAGGCTCCTTCCCGATGTTGATAAATGATACTGTCCGTATCGAAATAAAGGACCCGATCTCCTAAAGGTTGTAAAGTCTCGTAGAGGTGTAAGCGGGCATGCGCGGTGGTAAAACAAGCCAGGACCACGTTTCCAAAGGGACATTCTTCGACGAATTCCTGTTTGTTTTGATAAATCACTAGCATCTTGTCCGCATTGGAATCCTCTTTATTGTCTAAGAGTTGCATGCCCTTGATGTCGAGAGTCGAATCTTGTAAGAAGTGCTGTAATTACTCTTCTTCGTCCAAGTATCTGGTTTTGGGTAATAACAAGCGTTGAGCAAATTTTCCCCACAGACAATTTAAAAAGAGTTTAGCGATGGTTCTTCTCACTGGATTCTTCTCGATACTGAGAATGTCCATCATGATGCCTTCTTTGTCTAAGACTTGTCGAATGTAATCTTGTTTTTGTTCTGAGGTCTTACAGTCGGGGGAAAATCCGGAGGCTTCCTGTTTGATCTTGAGGAAGGTATCGATGTAGTGTCTGAATAAATCCTGTCTGCTTTCTTTAAAATGCCACACTTCGTAGATTCGCTCTAAGGTATATCCCATGTCCAGGGCTTAATGTAATTCGGTCGTCACCCAGGTGCCCGTGAGACTGCGTTCCTGGTCGGTGTGTGGACATCGATGTTGAGAAGTAGAGTCCTGTCGTTCGGCACACGTTCGACATAAGGGAAATAATAAATTGCCTCCAGTCCGATAAGGTAATACGGGGTGATAGAGGCCTCGGGGTGGTAAGACCCGACAGTGAATGAGACCAAAATAACTTCTCACGTCCTGGAACTCGTCTGTGATGATCTCGGGATGCCCCACAGGAAAAGGTCTGTGTTTCAACACGTAAGGGTATAAGGAACAGACGTCCACGTATCTCATGTCCCCTTCCTCACAATATAATCGGGTGGCATTGGTCCGGCCTCCGTACAGGACTTCTCGAGGGTTCAAAGGATCGGAAATGTCCAGGTCTCGTACAAAATGCTGTAAACTCACATCTCTTTGCACTTGCTGATCGAAATCGTGCTCCCAGATGCTATGAACATTGTACCCCATGTCCTCCAAGACAGCAGTCCTTCTGAGAGTTTCTTCGTGTAATTCCTGGTAAGTAAACTGGGTCCGGTGAGGATGAGTTTCGGTCTGTAGACTGGGATAGCAGGTGGAGCATCCGTGCCAATAGCACCCGTAAAATTCGTAGACGGTACGAGTCGCTTCCTGGTACCCGTCGACGGTATAATTTCCGATCTTGACTTCGCCCCCGTTTCTGGCATGACGTATGTGACATCCGCTCTGTTGATTGATCCAGGTGAGCCACCGACAGGCTTCGGCCGAATATTGTCGAGCTGGTTGATACCCCAGGTTCGGAATGATGGCAATGGTCTCTTTATCCATGAATAATCGACGGTATGCTTAATTGGCAGCACTGGCAAAAGTGATGGATTCCTGGAAAGGGTCCACTTTGACCAGGTTCTTGAGGGTTGTTCTAAACTCTGCACAGCATCGTCGTAAAATGTCGACGTCCGAGACACAATAATCTACAAACTCTTTCTGGAAATCGAACACTTTTCCGGTCTGTTGTTCGTACCATTCGAAAAAAGCCTGTCGTCCACTGACAGACATTTCGTCAGGATTGTAGAAAGCTGCAGGTGGATAAGGCCCTACGTAATTCTGGTTCTGTTCCGTATTAAAAAAGTGGGGGAATTAGCCTTTCTCGAGTTCGGTCAATCCGAAAGCCGAGGGCATCTTGGACAATGCAAACGGTAAGAAATTATAAGAGTCGATGAATTTCAATCCGCAAATTTCCATGTACAAGATCTTAGTGCCGTTCATGATGACGTTAGGTTTCAGGCAAGAGGAATGCACCAGGTGATTCAAAATGAACTGTCCGTCGTATCCTTTGAAGTTATGGGCGATGATGATGGCCTCGTCGTGGACTAAAGTGGAATTCTTAGTACCTGTAGTCGGTTGTAATAACCAGTCCATGAACTTCTTTAAGGTGCCTGGTCCTTTAAATAGGTGCTGACGGGGTCCCATGTGTCAACAATGAGGACAGGGCTGGTCTATGGCCAAGTGACCGCAATGTTGACAGACGCGGTGTGCCACACACAGATTAGGGATGTGAATGCCGGTTTCCTGAGTGCATTCGAAATCGAAATAAATGTAAAACTGTAAGGTCCCTTTCCCCTTCTTCTTGTTCTCAGGCTTCTGTTGTACGTAGCACTGATGATCGGCATCGACGATTTTCTTACAGATCTTACATTGTTTCTGTTCTCCGCACTTGTGACGAGGTAATAATTTCTTAGGCATCCAGGAATGACACTTCTCGCATCCTTCCATTGAACTGCATACAGTGGTGGTTGTCTTTTTACTATGGGGTCTTAAATGATTTTCGTAGCAGGTCCTGTTCTTAAAACATCCATGGCATTCCTGGCATTGAATGTTGCTCCCGTCTTCGGGACATTTAGGGTGTCCTAAACAATTTTTACAGCGATGAGGGCACTGGGACCGATGTTCTGTGACAGTCCTGAACCCCACGTCGCAATGATCACAGTAATATTGGTTCCCCGTTACTCCCGGCATTGATAGGATAGCATCGCAATGATGGTCGTCTAACAAAATGTTCAAATAAGTTCCATCTCCCCAACCTTTGTAAATAGGCTCTAAGGTGAGTTTAGTCGAAGTGGACTTGAACTGAAATATTTTCAGTCGATATCGAGGAGCTAACACCTGTTGTAATTTCTCCCATTCTATGGGTCCACAAGCCTGATTGATATCACACTCGGCCTGTTCCATGAGGGCTATTGCTTCTCGTTTCTGGTCCAAGGATTGCCTATCGCCTTTCCCATAGCTAGCCATCGTTTTTCCCATTCGGGGTCTGGATGTTCCGGTTTTTGACTGTGTAATCTAGTGACGACGATGGCTCTAGCCAAACAAAATTTATCCCAGGGATTGAGAATCCGAACGATGGCTCTTTTATTATTCTTAAAATCTCCTTATTCACTTGTAGATGTTTCGTATTCTGTCCACCACTCCCTTCAGGATACTTGACGTGAAACAGATCGAATTCCAGGGAGCCGTTGCCCAGTTTGAACTCCTTTTTGGATTGTTGAACGGCTTCTATCTTTTCTAAAATGAAGTCCTCGTTTAAATGTTTACATTGCTTAAACTCGTACCAAATAGCTGAATCCAAAGAATCAGAGATACCTCCCAAAGATTTTCCTGTAAGATAAAATATAAAATGAGATATAAGAAGTGTAATATGTACTGTGGGATCTCCAGTATACTGAGACCCGCAAATGAAGCACAATAAATTCCTTACCCTTTTTATCCTGAGCCGTACTGATCAACTGCCACTGGTAGACTAACCACCAGCATCAGCGCTCGTCAGTATATATAGTCTCCCCCAAAAGACGCCGAGTCATCGTCTTTGTCTTGGTCACTACAACGTTTAATGTTACATAGCAAACACAGTAGGAAGCATCACATTGATAACTAATTTGCATATTATTAATTTGATCAAGGAAATTTCTACTACAATAACATATCATGTGTCAAATTGTTCGCAATACTTAGTTAGGCGAAAAATGATGTGGCAACCTCAAAAGAACTACTTTATTGATTTCAACATGTTGCGACACCTGATTTGTCCTTATTTCTGTTGATTTCATATAAAACATGAATATTTTTATTTATACCTATGCGGTTAACTTAGACGACTTTGGTGTCGTTGGAAAGCTAAGAAAACGGACAACACGACTAAGTCGGAGCCATAAAATCAATGTGTCAGGAAAAGGGGGAAAAGTGGTTTCTTATTTACCCCAAAGATTGTGTTTAGAAATTGACAAATTGAGAATTTTTGACCATTTTCAATCATCAATATCTGGAGAATGGCATGCAATCGACACACTGTTCTTATGTCAGTGATACACCCTGACAGGGACTCATGGAAGCTGCAAAGAGTTTGCAGAAATACTTTCTCTCTCCAAAGATATTAATGACTAAACATATGGAAAATGTACAAAAGTCTTAAACAATTTGAAACCGGGATTGGACAAGCTAAAGCTGTCAGATCTCGACAACCTGCAGGTTGCCGAATAGGTCCCAGCAGGATCTGTTCAAGTGCTCCCAAAACCGGTTATGCTCGGAGAGGAGGTAAACTTGCGTTCCGCGCTAAGTTCTTTTTCCGGGCGATAGCGCGAAAACGGTGAGAGATAGAGGCCCTAAACTCGTACATAAAAGGTTAAGAAGACTTCAAGGAATCCACATACCAAAGCTCAGCCTGCTAGTCCCAAGGGCGTGTTACCTATGGGTATTTGAAGAAAAGGTGCCGTAATTCCGGTTGGACCGGAAGGCAACGTCCTCAGTAGTCAAAAAACGGGGAGGAAAGGGAACTTTTCTTTTCAAAAAAGGTTTCGTAGGCCTCGATACCCTGACCTGAACCTCTCTCGCTGAAATGACCAAAAACTGCCCCAAAGGGGTGACAAATGGACGCTTAATTG